ACTCTTTCCTAATGTTGAGATCAGAAGGACGACGTTTTTCCACAACTTGGCACTGAACAGCAGCTTGTTGTTTTTGGAGGATCTTTATCGTTTGGTTTCTGTGTAGACCTGCGTTTGTCTCTCTCGTTATTTACACTACCTGTGCGAATCGATGGGCGGGGCTAAACAGGCAGTAATGGAGAATCGATGGGCGGGGCTAAACAGGCAGTGATGTAGAATTGGTGGGTGGGGCTAAACAGGCGGTGATGTTGATAATCTTCTGCAGGGGCGGGGTTTATCCACACTATTACATCATAGAGTAGAACATTCCACAAGCTTTGGTTTTGGCAGACTGCCTTCAATATCAGCTGTTACTTACAGGATGGTTCAAATGGATGGTGAAAACAACTTACAGGATGTTTTTATAGTACAATGACTTCTTACATGTCAAAAGATCAAGGGAATTTTGATTTCTCAGTTCATGACCCCTATTAATACATTTTTTAAAATAAATATACAAAAATATATATACATAAATCAGTTAATTAATTTAAAATAAAATATCACCTGGTGCTGATATATATACACATGCATTTACTTTTGTATTAATTCACACACACCTTTTTATGTAAACTTTCTATATATATATATATATATATATACACACACACACACACACAGACACACACACAACATAATCCACACATAGTAACATAATCCATTACATTACACATTTTAGGTAATCAGAGAACTTTTAGATTACTTTTGACCTAACACTTTTATCAAGTTAAGAATGAAAATATATTCCATTCGTTGTGATTAACAACATGAAGTGCATTAAACATTACATTACGTTAAGGTTTCCCAAACTGGGGTTCGTGAGTTTAATGAAAAGCTAATAATTAATTACATTTAAAATAAAACATAATTACATTTTATTACATTTTTAAATCATTTTAAAAGAACAACAATCAAAATAAAACACTTACTAAAAAACATGAAATATTTTATGTTTTATTTGTCATCTGACCATTAACCAGCATCAGAGAACTGTGAACATGCAAATGTGTTACTTTTTATTAACTTGTTACTTGTTAACAGTGGACCGAAACATTGCGTTTAATAAAGTTTAAGAATTAGCCAGTATTGATATTGTCAGTTACTTATTATTAACTTGTTACCTAAAATCTCAGGGGGAACTACAAGTACATTTAGTAGGTGCAAGAGGTTCAGGTGACAAAAAAAATAAAAAATAAAAATTGGGAATAACTTCAGTGCACGTACTGTAAATAAGAAATAACAAAAATTGTCCACAAAACTGGAAGACTTTCTGAATGTATATAAGCGATTTAGAAAGGAAGATTTAAAGGGGTCATAGGATGCTACATGCACTTTTACAAGTTGTTTGAACTGAAATGTGTGTTGGCAGTGTGTGTACACAACCACCCTTATAATGATAAAAATCCACCCAGTGTTTGTTTTTTTAAAACAACTAAAATCTTCACCCCTTTCTCAAATCGAGCCGATCTCAGATGCCTGTCAGTGTGACGTCACAAAAACAGGCCCCTCCCACGATGATTCGATTGACAGTAGCGTTTCAGCACAGACTGGACTGGTGTCTTAACTTAGCTCCGCCTGAGTGACTGTCATCAGTTCGCCATTGTTTCGCCGCCGGAGCAGATGTAGACAAGAATGACTCCTAAGTGATTGAGGTGTTCTGTTGTTGGATGTAATAATGAACAGCAGTCGTCATTTACTCCCGACATCTGAGCCGCTGAACTCGCAGT